GAAGTCTTCGATTAGATGTTTTCGACTTATATTCTCAGAGAAAGTTATCATGATGTTATGTGTTCCTAGAGACTGGTATAATAATTCAAGTAATTGTATGTTCTTAACAATTTTTGGTATGTGGAGAAAGTAGGCCTATGATATGCTTCCTAGTTTTATTAAAGGACGACAACCTTACCAATTTACGCATTTTTTTGATAAAAATAGTGACACTGAAATGAATCGTTAATAAATTCGTTTGCTTATGAATTCAATCTTTCCTGTTCCAATATTGACCTACAGTGTTCGAATATTTTTATTAACGTCTGCGAGAAAAGGTGTGACTGAATAGTTTAAATATTATAGTTTAATCGTCTTCCGGGTTTGGACCGTGTCATTTGTGAGTGAGCCAAAAGTGGGTTCATCTCGACGTTTCGCTACAATTGTATGTAGCTTCTTCAGGAGAACAAAGAAAAAAAGAAAAAGAAAACAAAAGACAGGAAGATGGGTAGTTAGCAACGGTAACTCAGTTACTCAACGCAACCAGAGGCGAATACTAACTACCAAGATGGGCATTTGGTCACAGTAACTCAACTACTTAACGCAGCCAGAGGTGAAAACCAAATGCCAGGACAGGGATTCACGTCCAACAGCTCAGAACACTAACGCGTCGAGAGGCGGGGAGTGAATGCTGTCCTGGCATTTGGTTTTCACCTCTGGCTGCGTTAAGTAGTTGAGTTACTGTGACCAAATGCCCATCTTGGTAGTTAGTATTCGTCTCTGGTTGCGTTGAGTAACTGAGTTACCGTTGCTAACTACCCATCTTCCTGTCTTTTGTTTTCTTTTTCTTTTTTCTTTGTTCTCCTGAAGAAGCTACATACAATTGTAGCGAAACGTCGAGATGAACCCACTTTTGGGTCACTCACAAATGACACGGTCCAAACCCGGAAGACGATTAAACTATAATTCTGACTCTGGCCGTGGAAGCCTACGATTTCAGTTTAAATATTATTGGACATGGACATTGCACAAGAAAAATGATACAATTAGTAATATTGTAAAACCTCATCAAACAGGATTTATTGAAAACCTATACTGGACTCGGTCACAGAGACAAGGAATCTTTTTACTTTATTAATTACAAGAAAACCTTTGGTTCAGTAACGGCTGGATGGCTTATATGTAAATTAAGACTATATAAATCTATTGATAACATTGAGATATTTTAAAAATAAATAAGGACATAGTGGAAGAATGCTAAATATATAAATACTAAGATTGACCTTCACCTACCAGGTAACCGCAATGGCCAACCTATATTCCAGCTACTAACTTCCAATGACTATGGTTTTAGCATCAGAACTAACAACGCTGTAATCACGAGGCTTAATCATATCTTGTATAGGCATTATTTGAAATTAATGTCGGCAAAAATAAAGGCAAAACTGTAAAAACTTTCTCAACTGATATTAGTATGCACTTCAGAATTGACAAGTACTGTTCATAACATAGTCAGAGAAATGATTCAGGCGGAAAGATTCGACCATTTGGTATAAGATGGATGAGAATCTCTTCAGCGTAAAGTACGAACACTTCTCATCAAGTGACACAGAGTACGATACAACGAACAACCTTACCACGATATCTAAGAGGAAGAGGACTAATAAATATAGACCAGCAATTATAAAAACGCGTTGATAATTTAAGAACCATCAGAAGGAGTCCAAAACATTTATTTTACACAACGCAATTCGTTTAGTACAAGACGCATCAATACTTATACTAAGGCTACAAAAAATGCGCAAACCTCATTTATCATATGTAGAAGAAAAGCCCATTTGGATGAAGTAAACCTCGAACCCTCTAACCTAATATAGTCAACCATGACTATATAGACAATATAGCGTCTTACTACTTGTTGACGTCAGGAAAAAGGGTTTTTATTCGGGATGAAAGTTGTTCCCACCAAAAATTATCCGAAACATGGTCAAAGACACCTAGTTGTCAAGTCAAAACAAAAGCTTGTACTTATGGATGTCAAGCTCAAGAAAGCATTCAAGATATTATCAAAGACTGGCAGATATTTGTGCAAGTGAGCATGAGGAACAATATTAACTATCAACTATAAGGTATATTAGAGGTATCGATAATAGATCAAATCTTGTATTAGTTAATAACATAAATAAACAACACTTATTGATGTGGTAACACCTAACAACATTAGTGTGTGTGTTAAATACAACGAGCAGATTGCTAAGTACAAAGTTATTGCTATGCAAATCAGAAGATAATGGAGAATAGATGTTACCCTATTATTCTCATTACTATTAGTGTCATATGTCATGATAACACGGAAAGATAGATGTTATCCTATTATTCTGATTACTATTAGTGTCAAATATCATGATAACACGGAAAGAATCCCCACAAAGCTCAATTATTTTGATACTTAGGTGTCTATAATGAGTGAGTTTCTCCTTGAAGGAAGTGAAAGCCATATTTCTTAAAACTGTAAAAATACAGAAATGAGAAGAACTTAGGTCTTTTAATTTTAAATACAACAATGACTGAGTTATGTGGATCCACTCTCTGCAGTATCTAATCTAATGCTATGGTGAATAATTAGAATATAAAAGGTAAAAAAAGAAAAGTTCTTAAAAATAATGATTTCGGTTGTTTGGAAGAGCAAACCTTGATATAATAAACTCAAAATGAAAAGGGTGTCTAAAGAAAGCACAAAATCATAAAAAAAAACAGAAAAATTAGGCCTGAACAGAAATAAAGAAAAGAAAAATTATATAACTATGGAAGACAAACAAAAAACGGTAAAAAAAATAAATGTACTGATTAAAGAGTTGAGAAGAAAAAAAAGGGTTGTTTTGGGAAAAATAGAAGAAAAAGAACACAAACAACACTAAAAAAAGACCAGAATGTCCAAATATGAGTCAGCCATGAAGTCTAAATATAAGATATATAGAAAAATCAGAAGTTACAAAAATGAAAAAGAATGGAAAAGAGTGCAGCGACCGAAGTCATGATAAACTGATATAAAACCAGTATAGAAGTTAAAAAAAGAAAGACTGTGGCAAAAGTGAAGTAATAATTTTGCAGAAGACCATAAAAAGTATAGAGGCGAAACAGTGAAAGAATGATAAGCAGAATAGTATAAGCGGAATAGTATAAAATGGTATGAAATATTAAAATGATATTATGAAGAACTCTGGCAGAAAATATTTTTGATATTCATATTTGACTTACAAAAAACTAAAGGACACTACAATACAATAGTGTAGTGTAGTGCACCAATATAAGCAGTTACAGATGATGTCAATATCATAGCCAGAAGCAGAAGATTTAATGATAGAAGCATTTAATTCAATAGAAAGAGCGGCAAACAATACTGGCATACAAACACGGAAACGAAATATACGATGTTTCATATTCACCAGGATTAAAACATTTGCAGAACATAATCTTGAGGATATTTTACTTCCTCGTGTGTCTTGCGTTTAGCCGCACTGTGGTAGCTGTAAATACTCTTTAAATCACTTCTGGAGTGCCGTTGTTGGCTCTATAGTATTTCCTTCGACTGTTAAGATAGTACTGACTATTGCTGTCCATCTATTGCCATAAATTTGGTCTTAGTAGCATTGATCTTAAGCCCAAAACGTTTACCAGTGACATCAATCCTATGTAACATACGCTCCAGGTCCTCGAAGGTTGCTGCAGCATATCGTATATTTTCTATTGGAATCCTATTTATTTTAATGCCTCCACTATCTTCTTCGGGAGCCATTTGGAATATCTTTTCCACGTGTATATTAAAAATTAGGAGATTACAACATTGAAAACGTGCAAAATTTTACGTAGGTACCTATTTAGATTCACTAGTCACCAAGTCACCTCAGAAAACAATATCAGTGAATCAGTAAAAAAAAGGAATACAAATTGCGAACAACACATATTTATAAGGGACTAATAAACTATGTAGGATACGATAATATTAATAGACAAACCAAATGCTTAATACACAAAATCCTGATAAAACCAGTTCTTGTATATTGATCAGATACATGGACAGCGTTAAAAATTTATGAGAAACTACCTTTGGACGTAAAATTCTCAAGCATAATATCTCTCTCTCTTCAATCCTGACCCCCAGGGGGAGTGTAGTCGACGTGATGTCGTGTATTGTCCGTCTCCAGAGACGATCTCCGATCTTCCGATCTCTGGAGACGGAAAGCATAATATAGGGGAGTGCAAAAAAATTGCATGGCATAGACGATACAGTTTTAAACTATACACAGCATACAACAAATCCAACATGGTATAACCTTTATAAAAATTGAACGTTTACGTTGGAGAGACCATGTTGAACGGATGAAGAAAAATGAAAAACCGAAAAAAATAAGACGGACACCACTGGGAAAATGGTCGAAGGGAAGATCAAAACCTAGATATATGACACAAGTGAAACAACATCTGAAAATCTTAAAAATTTAGAAAAAATCAGAATGCAGGAAAACTCACTGGAACAAAGACGCACAAAGAGGTGTCAAGCTAACGATGATGCTCACTCGTATCAAATTTTCCATGATTTTCTTACACCTTGAAAATATCTGTTTTTTAGTTTACAATCTATAATCTTTAACAAATAAATTTCATCAAAACATGTTATGAAAATGACTTAGCGTAGCTAAAACATTGACGTCTTTTCTGTACAAATTTTGGAAAATTGGAAAAATTGTATTGTATATTTTGTATTTTTTTTTAATTTGTCTTTACTTAAGTACTTTGTCTTGCAAAATATATTACCATAAAAACACAATTAATAATTGTAAAATACTAATCTATTGGTTCAGTTATTTATATACCCGTTTTGGCATTTAGTAGCCACTGCCATTTCTTCCAATAAACTATACAATATTAGAAGTCGGCTATTCAAATAATTCAAAATTAAATTCATACAAGTAACTCACAAATCAACAAATTATCTAAATATATTAAAATAGTTTACTTACATTTGCCGGTAAACACGAAAGTAAACAAAAAAAACTGATGAAAACACTAAGAAACAGTCAAAAATAGCACGATCACTTGTCACTGAAATACAAATCGAGAATGGTACAAAATGCACGTAGACGCGATTTATTTATAGAAGGAAGTTTCCGTATTTAACGATAACATGTATTCAAGCAATGGAATGGAATATGGTCGATGTACCTATGACTCAACTGTACTCGTACTCGCCACTGTTACTGCGAAGTCCAAAGTCCCTCGGTGTAGAACTCATCCGTTGAAATGAATACACGTATGGTGTATGGTGTGACAATGGCGTAGATGGCGGTGATGTGATGCAAGTTGGTGTAATTACCGAATTTTATTTCGGAAAACAAACGGAAGAACTTTCGGGATTAAAGTTCGCTTTAATTCTAATATCCAATTTTCTTAGAAATATAAATTTACTTCAAATAAAGCAGTTTTCCTTGTTGTTTAAAATAAAATACAATACAATATTTTATTCAGATATAACTACATACAGAACGCGCACTATCAATACCTTATTTAGCGTAAGATATCTTAATTGACCAATTCTAAGCTGAAGAAGAGTCAGGTTAATAAGGTTTCAAAACACTGCAAATTGGTTGCTAATTACATTTCCATCTTCTAAGTTTAGTTCATCTTTTTAGCTCCTCCTATTCAGACGCATTTCGTTTTTGTAGAGTTAACATTTAGTCCCCTTTGCTCGCATTCTTGTATTAATGGCTTTGACATGAATTGCAAATCTTACTGGTTTTGTGCGATGACTACTTAATCGTCTGCAAAATGAAGGGTATATAGTGTTCTTTCGTCGTTTAATGGTATACCTACTCCAGAACATGATCTCCTCCATTTCAGTGCCTCACTCAGGTAAATTTTGAAGAGTGTTGAATATAGACGTCTCTTATTTACCTTAAAATTCTAAAAGGGATGGTTGTTAATCTTTGATCGTTGTATTGCTTTCGCAAGTGTGGGGGAGAAGAGGGAGACTTGATTCCACCGTTACATGTTTTCAGATAACTTTTTTTATAACCGATCTAGAACCTTGATAATTTAGTGGAACATTACAAATTTATCAAAGTTTTGGTATACACCCGAAAAATATACTGCCAATAAATAACGTTTTTGTAGAATCCAGTAATAGAGAACAGCTAATCATGTCTCCCCGTACTTCGGTAGACTTGATTCTTGTGTATGGGTGACTTGATTATATCTTCCCAGATTTACAATATTAAAATGAAACGAAAAATTGGATGCTGAACTAACTTTACTCAGTCATGACATAACAACTAATATTAAAAATAGAAAAACTTTCTGGCAGAAAATTATATTCAAAAGGTTATAAAAGTGAAAAAAAAATTATTGTTGGATATTGAACATTCCCAGTGATTTAGGAAAGACAAAACATCCTATGTGCTTACTGTAGCTCCTATAAGTCGGTCTTCACCAATGTCTTCTTTTTCTGGCCATTTAAAGGTTTTGTCATCTCTTTTTTGAGAAAATTTTATTTTAAAATCCTCGTACTTTCTTCTTGTTATCTGTCCTACGTAACGATGGACTAAGTTACTTTCGGAGATAAAGCTTACAATTATCCAATCTTGCACACTCATTTCAAACTCGTTACCTTCTGCTTCTGATTCACATTCAGTAATTCCTTAAGTTTTTGTTTAGTCATTTTTTTAAGTGCTCTTACTTTGGCCCTTTGCTCTTTTTCTAATTTTTTTTCTTCTTTAGCTCTAACTTCAGCTTCAAGCGTAAGTTTTTCTGGTGTAGCTGTGAGAATTTTCATAGTTGCTCGCTTTCTACCCTTTTTTGAAGTCCTGGGCCCGGCTTTAGGATGAGGTCTGACCATTTCTGGGCTATTAAAAGTGGCAGAAGTGAAAGGCTGGTTATTGTGCTCCATTGATGTTTGTTGTGACTAATTATTTTGTGAAGTATCTCCATTTAAATGATGTGATCTAATTATTTGAGATATGGTAAAAGTACCAATAGAAGTAAAAGGCTGCTGTTTGTCCCCTATTAGTGTTCGTCGTAGTTGTTGATTATGTGAAATCGATCCAGTTGAGGAAGATGGTCTAATTATTTCATAGGTGGTGAAAGTGCCAGTAGAAGTACAGGGTTCGTTATTGTTATCTATTGCTGGTGTTGCAACATCAAACTGAGATAAAGTAGAATTATTTTCCGGATCTTCGCGATCAGTAACATACGCCGACATAAAATCTTCATCGGTAAAAATATTGGAATTGAAATGCCATATACCCGTAACTCTGAATCCGCTTTCAATATTACGTGGAGTAAATGCTAACGTTTATGTAATGACTCGTTTATTGTAATTGTCCTTCCTGAGAGGTCCCCATTCAATTATCACATAGAAACTCTTGAGAGGGCCAAATACATTCCTGTCTAACGCCTGGAGCTTATGCGACGTGTGTGGTGGTATGATAAGAAGAATTATTCCGTGTTCTTTGGCATAGGTTATGCCTTCGAGAGTAACGTAGCTATCATGATTGTACAACATTTATTGTCGGCAGTCGCCTTTACATGTTTTTGAAAATGTTCCAAAAATTTGATAAAATTAGAAGCGGTCATCCATCCACTTTCATAAACTACGCCGATGGTCCCTGGTGGGCTACTATCAATCATGCGATCTTGCCAAAGTTTTCGAGGGAAAACCATAAAAGGCGGTGTATGGTTTCCAATTGCATTGATTGCACCACAAACAGTTACTGTTGCTCCACGTTCCCCTGACATAATTTTACCAACGCGCTTTTCACCTTTGTATACAATGATCTTCTTTGGCTCATGGACAGTGGAAAGTCCAGTTTCGTCCACGCTCCAAATTGCTCTTGGTCCAATTCCATGGTTTTCAAGAACTGTCTTTAAATTTCCGAAAAATTTTGATACATTATTTCTGTTGAAATTAATTGCTCTAGAAAGACTAGTTGCTTCCAGAGAGCGTAGTGATTAAGTCTTCATCCTCTTCAGAAATCCGTATAACTAGTCGTAACTGACTTGCTTACGTTTGTATTTACATGGCATATCTATAAAATAAAAAACATTCATCTATAAGAAGTTTCTGAGAGACTTGATCCCGGGATCATATCTCCCAGATAAGAAGGAATCAAGTCTCCCTCAAGAGGTCATTTTAATATTTTAGTCTAGGAAAATTTGAAAACAAACTAGAACTCACTGCAAGCTATGCAAAACGTAAACTAAACAATTATAATATATGGTGTTAAACTATAATTATATGGTGTTAAATAAAAATTATACGAAACACTCACCTAAACAAATAGTAAAGAAAATCAACTTGAAAAATAATTCTGAAAACACTTCTCGGTAGGGACAAAATAATTGTAACGAACACGTGCTCTTCGTTGTGTATTTTAATGAAAACTAAATTACAAGACATGGACAGAGAACTATGGAATCTACTGCCATACCAGAGAACTATGAACACAGGGAACTGCGTTCGTAGTTCTCTGGCCATACTAACAGCTACGCTATGTTGCCGGTTTTATAATTCTAGGCTGCTTATTTACTGAAATTTTAAAGAGTGATCAAATCTCTCATATGATCAAGTCTCCGTCTTCTCCCCTAATATTATTGAATGAGCTTTCCCGTACTTGCCATAGTCTACATAGGGATATTGTATCATAAGCTTTCGTCAAGTCCACAAATAATATATAAGTTAGTCTATCTCTAGCTAGCCTTTTTCCATTTAGTTGGGTTGAAGTGTAGATGTGAATGATGAAAGATTATCCAGCATGAAATACTGCTTGCTGTTCGAACTCAAGTGGTTCATATTCGTTTTCGGCTAGGGTTTCATAACTTTTCCTTACAATCTACTGGGAGTGCTGGTAACTGAGATGCAGCGATATTTTTTGCAGTATTTATCCTCTTTTTACGACTCGGTGTGATTCATTCTTCCTTCCAGCTTTTAGGCATATTATCTCTGTTTAGGTATCTGTTAAAAAGTTCTGTCAACATTTTTAACAAGCGTTGGTGTTACATTTTTCAAAAGTTTAGCGTGAATTCCTTCTGATCCATTGGCTTTTGTATTTTTCATGATTTTTATCATATATTTAATGATGATATAATTCTTATATTTAAGTTTAATAAAGTAAAGATAAGATACCAGAAGCTAGAAAAGTTGACGAAATGGCGTAAAAAAATTTAGGATGATTGTATAAATATTAGTGGCTATAAAATCTAGGGCAAACATTGTAGACCGAAGCAGTAAGCGATTTTGCTCGCCCTCTACTTCACTTTTGGACTTGTGCCCAAGATGACCAGGGGGATAAAAGTAGCCACTTGTCGGGGGTGAAAGCTACCCTTTCTCAGGGGTGAAAAACTTGGGTTCAAAAGAAGCCCGGAAATGGATAAATTGTTTTTTAAACTAAGTTAATACTTTTTGAGTTATTTGCGAGTGAAAATGTTCATTAAAAAAAACACGTTTTCAAAAGGTATTTCACAAATAAAACTATAAAAAAGTATCTTTGTTTTTATAATATAAAGACTGTAGACCTACTAGAAGCAGAGTTTTAGCTATAAAAGGTTCTAGGTTCTTCGTTGTAAAATTACAACGCGAATAATTCAACGTAAAATATCCAAAAAATAAAGAAAATTTTGGGGAAAACTCATCAAAACTTTTTTAAAGTGTTTAAAAGGCTTTATTTTTGTTTTTTTTTTTAGTTTCTAGCCTCAAAACTAAGTGAGCTACGCTCAAAATAAAGTTGGTCCTCTTTTATTAGAAAAAGATCGTGAAAATCATCTCCCCAAACATCAATTAACTCCAAATGTTCGACTCCGGTTTCTGTACATAATGTAGCTTTGCGTATTTTAAAAATTTTTGTGTTTATTTTAGCTTATTCAAGTGTTTGTCCTTGTGTAGTGATGTACAATTTTATGTTTATTTTATTCTTATTGGATAGGCCACAATTGACGAAATGTCCCTGAAGATGCTCTAGGGAGCAAAAGTACTTGGGCAAGATTAAATTAATAAAACTGTGCTCGATATCTGCCTTTTATTTGATCAAAGTTCATTTATTCGAGCATTCAACCTTTATCAATTTAGTAAAATGTCTA